TCGAACGGCCGATGAGACTATTGCTATTACAATAAAGCTTTCCACGAGAGCCAAAAGGAGGCTTGTAGGGGTGCACAAGCACATCGATATGAGATTGGCGCTTCCGGGGCTTGTTTACATTATGCATAAAAACAGGACGATCGGCGACCAGCTGATCGCAATATAACACCAAGGATACCGATGTTTCCATACATAGAAAGCAGGATAAAGACCTCAATCGTCCCTTGTATGCTGTAGCTGTCATACTTTCCATCCAACCGCTTTTTAGCACTATTAACTAGAGCAACCGAAGAGTTCGCAACACCGTTTAATGCGAGGCCTGAATGGTTACTTCATCTAAGCAACTTCAACGAAAATGTTTGTAGCCGCAGTCTGATAAGTTTAGTTTTAGATAAAGTACGCGTCATAGTTTCAACGCGCCAACATTGTTGATGTGCACCTTTCTTTGAACCCAAGTACATTCGGTTCAACTTGATGACAGCTTCACCAGCGTGAGAGCTCACGTCGAACACTTCCACACATATCTTGACTATGGCAAGATTGCTTGCCTTCGACTGGCTTGAACACTTCATTTGTAGCATCACGGTAAGTCTTGGTTGAAGCGATGATCGTCTCGCACACGTAAACAAACAGAGAACAGCACGCTTTGTTTAATTTATACGCTACCGATCTACGGGCGTCGCAAATCTATCCCCCTTTTTTCCGCCATGTTGGATCGATCGGAGCGCACCCTATATTCGCTCAAACGCCTTATAAGTTATGCTCCGACTCTATAACAATGCAAATACCTCGTTCATTGGACTTTTAAAGACTACCGAAACCGACAGATTAACCTCTACGTCACTACCTATTTCGGAACACTTGCAAAACGTCAGTTTTGGAATTTCGCGTGCATTACTGGGCACAAAATAAGCCTCACATGACGCTACACAAAATGAGCGGTATACTAAGCCACCACTGCGTCGAGAAAACTCCTTTTAGAAAAAGTTTGGAATGATTCAGCATCTCGCGAGCGTCAAGTGTGCAAGCGGCCAAAAGCACGACAGAAAGCAACAATTACGTCCGACCGTCTGGCTGCCGAGCGCCGAGCCTCAGCTTCCCCCCCCCCCCCCCCCTATAGGGCACGCTCCTTTCGTAAGCAAACGTCCGCTAGACAGGCCGAGCACGTGGCCAAACGGCCATACGGGTGCAAAAGGCCGCCGCGCCGCACGCACTACTCCAGCAACGTAAGCGACGTAAGCGCACAGCCAACACCACGCACAGCACACTGCACTGCATGCGTACAAAGAGTGAGGAGCATTTGCGCTTGCGCCACCTGCGCCCTGTCCGAAGCGGACACCGTTATGCGCTGCGAACACGCGAAGAACGCATATGACGTCAAGGAGCCAACGCCGCGTCGATGAAAGAGAGAGAAAGAGAAATGTCGTTAGACGTACGAGTAAGACAAAACGAACAAAAAAAATGTCGACGAAATGTAGTAATATGGTGGCTGAGTAATAAGCTCTGTCGAGCATCGAATGTCGAAGAAACGATCTTCGGATGACACATCGAAGAAACAAATGTCGAAGAAACGATCTGCCGATGAAACATCGCAGTGTCGATGAAACAATCTGTCTATGAAACCTTGTTCGACGAACTGATTGCCCATTATAAAACTGCGCGTCAAGAATGACGCGGCTTGCCACATGAAAAGTGGCGCGCCCTACATGATCGAGAGCGCAAGAAAGAACCACATGGGGACGGCCGCAAACCCCCAAACCATTCCAAACCAAACCAAGCAAAGTCATGCCAAAGTCAAACCAATCCAAACGAAATCAATTCAAGGACGGCTGCATGTATCAAGATAATGAATGCTGACAGTATTTTATAAAGGCCGAGATGACTGAAAAACAATGCCAGCCGAGGCAAGCACGGTCGATCAATAAAATCAGAAGCAACTCAAGTGAGAAGAAAACTCGGCCACCGCGGCCCCTGTTCATAGAATATCATATACGACTGACAGACACCACTGTCAACAGGGATTATGGTGAGATTTCAAACCGTCGTCACGTGCAACCACCCTACCTAATATAACCGTTCTCTCCCCCCCCCCCCCCCCACACACACACACACAAAAAAAAAATGGGTCGATGCCCATATGTTTACTATATATACATTCTGCATAAACTTCCGTAGAAGTACCTGTGGGTGGCACAAAAAAAGAAACGGAGGTGATATATGTAGTAATTGTTTATCTGTGTACAAATGAGCGAGGTATGCACAGCGAGGCGATGTTCTAATCACTGCGACATTGTCTGTGTAACCTGTCGGAAGGCGCGTTTCTGTTTTCCCCGCCGCCCTTGTCAGCAGGCGAAAGTTAAACGCACCCACTTTAGTCAGCTTGCATTTAGTTTCTTTCGTAATTCATCCAGGTTTACGAAATTTGGTAGAAATGTGCGGAGCGTAAACATTAACATAGTACATTTCTTTCGAATTGGATTAGTGGCTCAGAAGTTTCCCCGCCGCACGACTCACGCGAAGACAAACCAAAGGCTTGAGAGAAACAAAAGAAAAGCACAAAGAAAGCAACCGGCAACCTGTGAGTGTGAGGTCCTGTGAGTGTGATGAGCGTGAAGACCTGTGTGAGGACCGTGAGGACCTGTGTGAGTGTGGGGGCCGCGAGGACCTGCGAGTGTGAGGACCGTGAGGAGCTGTGAGTGTGAGGACCTGTAAGTGTGATGAGCATGATGACCTGTAACAGTGAGGACCGTGAGGAGCTGAGAGTGTGAGTGCCGTGAGGACCGTGATGACCTGTGAGTATGAGGACTGTGAGGATCTGTGAGTGTGATGACCTGTGAGTGTGAGGACCGTGAGGAACTGTGAGTGTGATGACCTGTGAGTCTGATGATTCGTGATGACCTGTGAGTGTGATGACCCTGATGATCTGTGAGCGTGACGACCGTGATGATGACGGCGAGTGAGTTTTGGTTTTGCGTTGAGCCGTGAGGTTGAGTCCGGGTGATGATCCTATTTTGAATAAATCGTGATCGTGAGTGGGCGTGAGTTCTGATTGAGGAAAAAATAGTGATCGTGAGTTTGAGTGAGGACAGCTTAAAATGCCGACCTATGGTTGTCGGATGTCGCAATCCCGGCGGTTGGTCATAGAAATTAGGGGTGTCGCGAACCGGCCGCGGTTCGAGTTCGACCAGGTTCGACTTTTTCGAACTTTTAGTGGAAAGTCGTCGAACCTTGTATTGAGGTTCGACTCCTGTGCGCATGCGCGACAGGCTGGCCAGTTGGCTTCGGATTGGATGGTAATGGCTAAGAGATGAATTAAGTGCAGCGCTGATCGGCTATTTCAGTCAATACAGTACTAAAATTTAAGTTATTAACTTCTTCAGTGAATAGAATTAGTTTCTTTTAATTGCAGTTGTTCACACAATAAAATAACCTTTTGCATAAAAAAAGAAATTCTCCAAACCTAGACATGCTTGTATCAAGGTCTGGCCACACTGTCCACAAAGTCGAACCGGTCGAAACTGGTGAAAAGGTCGAAGGTTCGTCGAACCGGTGCGACCCAGTCGAACCCCGAAAGTTCGACCAAAAAATCTGGTTCGACAAAAGTTCGCGACACCCCTAATAGAAATGCTGTCGAAAAGCACGAGGAACTAGGGGTGTCGCGAACTTTTGTCGAACCAGATTTTTAGGTCAAACTTTCGGGGTTCGACTGGGTCGAACCGGGTCGACGAACCTTCGACCTTTTCCCCAGATTCGACCGGTTCGACTTTGTGGACACTGTGGTCAGACCTTGATACAAGCATGTCTAGGTTTGGAGAATTTTTTTTTTTTTTTATGCATCACTGAAGAAGTTAATAACTTAATCTTCTTGTACTGCGTTAACTGAAATAACCAATCAGCGCTGCCCTTAATTCTCCCCTTAGCCATCACCATCCAATTCAAAGCCAACTGGCCAGCCTGTCGCGCATGCGCACACGAGTCGACCTTAATACAAGGTTCGTCAAATTTTCCACTAAAGGTTCGAAAAAGTCAAACCTGATCGAACTCGAACCTCGGCTGGTTCGCGACACCCCTACGAGGAACGAGTGTCGCTTTCATCGTGGCGTCTGAACTTCTGGCCACAGATCAGTGCTTCCGGCTGCCGATACTTCCGTGGACTACTGAAACCACATCTGGAACTACCGCGCTGGATGAGAGCGGAGCGGAGAGGGGAGAGCAATCACTTAACCTTTTCCGAGAAGCGTTCTGCGCACGCGCGAGCGCCCGATGCCAAGCGGCGGAAGTCGGAACGAAAAATCGAGGAAATTCGGAAGGAGGCTGTATATCAGCGAGTAGAACCAACACCACCTAGACAGAAGGCCTCCGCATGGTTTCCTCTTCTATGAAACGTCATCACAGTCGGATCGCGCTCGGTCGGCTATTGGACCCGAGCCCGACCTTCGACGCGCTGATTGGCCACGAGCCGCAGCCGAACACTGACGCAGCACTCGTTCCCAATCTCTCGCCTCGATCGATCTGACTATGATGACGCGTGTGGAGGCCTTCTGTCTAGGTGGTGTTGGTAGAACACGTAACTGCAGCATATATATAATTGTGTTACACAAAAAAAGAACGTTGACGGAAAGGAAAACACGACGTTTGGGTGGACGCCACGAATACCCCTCTTTCAAGTCGCGTTGGGCAGGCGCCACTGCTCAGAGAGCGAAGGAACTGGTAGCGTAGCTCCCATTATCGATTGGTAGCGCAGGTAGGTCACTTCCTCGATTTTTAGTTCGTGCAGCCACCGCCTGGTGCCGTCGGTATGTGGAAAAGGTTCATTAAAGAAGCGCAAAAAATACAAGGACGAGGAAGTAAACAGAGAGCAATCTGCAGCAGAACAGGCGTGCAGTGACAGGCGTCTGCCACACACATCACCACTGCTGAGACCGCCAGGATCGTGGCCGGGGACAGCATGAAGCCCCTTCGTGATTTAAGAGTAACGCAAGGTGCCTCGATGTACTCACTGGATTCTGGGAAAGTAGCACCATTGCCTTCCCTACCTGCTAGCTGAACACAAACAGACACTAACATACAGACGACCAAAACCTCGCAGGCGATTGGCTAACCCGTCTACGTTGACATGGAAATCGCCATCTCGGTCCATCAAAATTTTTGAAGCTTCCAGAGGGTCGTCCTAAACCAGTCGCACCAAGATCACCATGCAGCATCATCGTACTAGAAGCGTTCCTCGCCAATATAAGCGTCTTACACAATCAACTTATCAGTCATGCCCATCTCCACGGATCTCTCACAATAGACTACTTCTATGAAGCCCTGCAAGCAACACGGCGCGCGTTGCACTCTGGGAACTAGTTGGCCAGGGAGGAGAGTGGCATGGTTTCGGTTTCGGTCGACACGTCGACAAGAGATTATACCTAGAGCGTGGACCATTACGGCCGTTATCTCATGTTTTCTGGTTCCGAGAGCGTAATTTGTGGTCTCTAAACTAACCTAAATGGCCAGACCTCGAAGCTTTAGCACAAGCCTGAGACGTATAGCTTGTATTAACACATGCTTGTTGTATTTTTGTACTTGAGCCTCCTGTTAGCGTTTCAATCGAGGTATATGTGGACGAGCCAGTGCTGGGAATCTCGACGCTGCGAAGCTCGGGGATCTTGCTTGTGTACGAATCAACAAGCTGTAGCAACCAATAAGTATGCATACATCGAGCTTGCGCCTTTACATTAGAGTTGTTGACCAAGAAGTTTGTTTCACGTGCGTCCATAGACGAAATATTACTTTTTGCAATTACTGTTTTTCTTCATATGCCTGAGCATGCAAGGTAAAACTCGGAGGCGCCACTGAAAAGCTCAATTGTAACACACTTCTCATCTCTTATCTGTACTGACCCGCAGCACTGCACGATGTGAAATCCCCGCCCGCTTCATTCCACTAATATTCAACATCGCGTATGCGCATAAAGTTATCCTGCAATCATATAGGCAAATTCGCACATACAGACCGTTTTAAGAAAGCAAAAGTCGAGCACTTGTGTGACGAATGTCGCACCGTGCGCCGGAAGTGCGCCGGACGGGCATGAACCCCTATGCGGTGCGCCAAACGAACGAATTCAAAGCGCGTTTGACGGTTGCTAATGGCCATAATATTTGTTATCTGTTAGCTTTCTTCCTGCCTGAGTATGCCGAGATAATTTCAGACTAATAGTTCAGGCACAGATCTTGGGCGTCAGTAAAAGCTCGTCCAAAAAGGCTTAGCGAGGAGTAGAGGACGCTTTGGGCCTCCGTCGTAGCTAGCCGATCTCAGCGTTTGCGAAAAGTTAATCTTCTATCAGCATAAAATTTGAGTGGGAGATATATGATGACACGAGGAAGACATCATAGTAACTTTAACAGTAGTTAGGTCGAATTTATTGCGTTTCCTTAAAAGTTCATGCGTAAACGCTGGGCTCAACTTTGATACCCTGTGAGGATGCGGCTTGCTTTTCGCCCAATGAAGTAACAAGAAGCGGCCGTTTGGCAAACAAAATACGTATAAGGCTCCAGATAAACAAATTTCAGTTGTAGTTCACTAGTACTAGACGGGATTATTGAAATTGAGCTCAAACATGCACTCGTAGGGTGAGGTGACTAAGCCACGACTTACTATCGTTTGCATACGCACGCACAATATCCGGTGTTTCGGGAACCAAGGAAAGTGCCCCGGTCTTTGTTTTGTATCGCTCGAGAATGAGTGTATTGTATAGGGATGCCGCGAACTTTTTTCGAATCGAAGTTTCGATGATCGAATCAAGCGGTTCGAAAGGTTCGAAAGATTTCGATTTTTCGAATTGTCTATATCGTAAAATTCGACGGAGGTCGAATTTTCGAACTTGTTAAGCTAAGAAGTTCGACGCTTTTCGAACCGTCGAACTTATTACGCTAAAAAATTCGATCTTTTTCGAACTTTCGAATTTATTGCGCTGCAAGGTTCGATGCTTGTCGAACTTTCGAACTTGACTGACCAAAACATTCGATAAATTTCGAACTTCCGAACTTATTTATCAAGAAAATTCGAAAAGTTTCGAACTCTCGAATTTTGAAAAGTCAGAAGTTCGACGAATTTCGAACTTTTAGGGTAAAAGTTCGACGTTCGTCGAACTTCGAAAGACCGGCGGCCGGTTTCATTTGATTTCAAGGAGTGGGGTACATTCGTAATTTTTTTTTCTCGAACTTTTACACGCGGTGCTGCGTTCCTTACGAAAGACAATGTCATTTATTTCAATGTTCTGGCATGCTTAGGTTTAAAGAAAGAAATCCCCGAAGGGGCGAGGACGGACGACAGGTTTTTGACGATTATCGTTTGTGCCAGATTTGAAGCACGCTGCAGCCGGAGCTATTTATGGTAGATATGTTATACTTTTTTAAGAATGATCTATGTATAGCCTAGGTAAGTGCCGTCTTAAGATGTGATTATTGTTATTCAACGTGAGTTTCGAAGAAATGTCCAAACATGTATCTGCATGCAATTATGACCTAAACTTGATATTTATTTTCGTCTAAGTTGTTTGAGGTATCGCATTTAAATTAGCACCACAGACAGTACATATCATTGCCATCTGCAGAATACAAAATAATATATTTATTGTTTTTTCACGTTAAGGAATAAATTAACTCATTGCAGAAGATTTCTAGTAGTGTTCAAGTTCAGCAAGTCATTAAAAGAAAACTGTTTTTTTTTTTTTTTTTCGCTTCACGTTTCTGGGACGTGTTTCTTTTAGCCTGTACACATTTTGGTAAAAGAAACTTGTTTCGAAGTTCTGAACCTCTGAATATGCACGAATAGAACACTTCCGACGAATTCTTGATAGTTTTTTTTTTTTTTCTCCTGCTTTTTATTCCCGCATTTATTCTTTTTTTTTTTTTTTTCTTTTGTTACTATCGGCACAGGTGTTTAGGTCGAAAAGACAGCTTTGAACTTCCGAACCACTAAGCATGTGACGAGCAGTGCCTTCTGACAACGAGTTTCTAACAGTGACCATCTACGCAACCTTTTATGCAGTGAAGAGCGACAGTAGCTATACATATGCATAAATAATTTCAGATTAAAATAAGCTCGACCACGCCCCCTTTCCCCGTATTGTTTTCTTTAACAGTCCGAAATACCTGCAAAGGGAAGAAAAAGGCTGAAGCCCCCCCCCCCCCCCCCCCCCCCCCCCCCCCCCGCCGCTATCCTCTTTCCTTCCGTTTTTCCTCTTCCGACGCCACTTGTATGGTAGAACGCTCCTCGACCTCGAGTTGTGTCGGCTTTTGTGCTTTTTGCGAGGCGATTCCTCCGTCCCAGAAAATAAACCTCCAGGACAATTATAAACTTCACCGGATCGGATTACTACCAGCGTGCAAGGGGTGGCGAGCTAGTTTGCCAGGTCGCTTCAAGGTTTTTCTGAGCCTCAACCTCCTGCTCGCCCCTGGCCGTTTCGAACTGGATGAGTCTCGTAAAACAGTGTGTTCGTGCAATCACTACTGCGTGATAAAGACCCCCCCCCCCCCCCCCCCCCCTTCCCCCCCGGGGGGCTGGCGGTCACAATTCTGCACTGGCAAATATTCTAGCACGTTCGGGACACTCGTCGTCTCATTTAATTGCCTTACCAACTTCGCAGAATCTAGATATCACACCCTAACTTTTCTAAACTTGATTTTGTGAAAACAAGTGAGTCGTGAAAACGTTATTTGAAACTGAAACTGTAGAAAAACTTGAAAATCGGACTTCAAACTTTGAAAACTTGGATTAGAAAAAAATTCAAAATCTTCGAAGTTTTTTTTTTTTTTTTTTTTGAATGTAGCGTTAAAAGAGAATCGAAACTTTCGAACTTTTCGAACTTTAAGCCAAAAGAAATTCGAAATCTTCGAATTGTTCGAACTTCATGTCTATAAAAATTCGAAGCGTTCGAAGTTTTCGAATTTTTTTTACAAAGAATTTCGAAATCTTCGAATTTATCGAACCTGAAGTAAAAAAATATTCGAAATATTCGAATTCGAAATTTTAGAAACCGTGAAAGCTTCGAAATTTTCGAATTCGAAGCTCCGCTGTGGACAAAAGTTGCGAATTTTTCGAAATCGAGCCTCGGTCGGTACGAAAATATCGAAATTTTTCGAAATCGAACCTTAGTTCGCTTCGCAAATATCGAAACCTTTCGAAATCGAACCTAGGGTGGTTCGCGACATCCCTAGTATTGTACGTTCGTGAAAAGTCAGATAATAGAAAAACGCAAGCAGCGCGTTCGGTCGCGGCGTGATAGCATGAGATGCGGCTGCTCAGTCGAAACCGAAACTGAGCGGCCAACTAGTTCCCAGAGTGTACTGCGTGGTATTTCGCCGCGATGGGGCGCGTCGGTTTTGGAAGAAGTCCATTAGCATCCTCGATCATCCGCACCGGTGCGCCCCTTCATCTTCGATCAAGTGCACCGGTGCGCACCGTACGTCTTCGATCAACGAAGCGCACCCTCCCGGTGCGGCTTTTCGTTGCCCCAACGCGCACCAAGAAAATCGGTGGTGCGCCGGGGGGCAGTCCCATCAGGCATTAGAGCACTGCACGGGCCCGGGCCAGCCCGAAAGCCCGAGCTCGGCCCGGCCCGCGGGCTGGGCTCGGGCCGGGTAGCACGTATTTTCTCGGGCCCGGGCCGGGCTCGGGCTTGAACAAAAAAGTTCTCGGGCCGTGCCGGCCCGGGCCGGCCCGGGCCGTGCCTGGGCAATCTTCTGCCGTAAATCATAAATTGTTGTTGATAACAAGAAGTCTGCTCATTAATCTTTTAGGTTCATTGAATACAAAAAAAGCGAAGTGCAAATTCACTGCAGCGTCGTTAAAAATAATAACTAAAAGGCGTCTTGAAGCTAGAAAGCTTTTTAGCTTTTTCCGTGTGAGCGAGGGTTCAGTGTTATAAATTGTAAACAAAATAAAGTCCCAGTCATATGCTTGTCAACCTGTCTGATTCATCGCTCTCAAAAATATCTAGTTCACTATTAGGAAGATTTAGAAAAACGTACGCAAGCGCTTTGGGTACCGTAAAAATAGCGTTGCGATGTGAAACCTATGGCGATGCTAATTCTAGCTTGCCCAAAGTGCTTGAGTACGTTATTCTAAGACTCCTTTATTGCACAGAGCGCGACACTATATTAGCGCGAACAAGCGAACGTCGTGTTTTTATGTTTATCTCATAGAATCATAACGCTGTTTTCAAAACTATTAGTGTATTTAGAAGTGCTCATCTGGGCAACAGACCTAAGCGGTATACTTTGGTGCCTACTAACACCATTTCGAAGCAAAATTCGAAAAAAGAGCCAACGTCGTGTTCGCGGTATCAGTGTCGCGCAGTGTACATAGCCCGTTCCGCGCTTGCACGTTTTGGGAACCATCTTGAAAAAAACGTTTTAAGGGGTTAAGTAGGAATATATTAAACTTAAGCTTGCCTGAAAGGGTTGTATATTTTAAGAACGCGTTGACATGTAAAGCTACTTCAGGACACATTCTTAAACAGAAAAGGTGCGCAGACCAGGCTTAGAACGATGGAGACGTTTTGTGAAGAGGTTGCGATGTGCAGGGCCTTATATAAGTAGGTTGAAACGGGACGCGTTCAAGCGCAAAGGGTGTTTCGGAAACTGGTTCGAATAAGAAGGGCGTTTAGGGAATGGGTAGAAACAGAACAAGTTCAAACGAGAAGGACGTTTAGGGAACTGGTCGAAACGGGACGGGTTCATATGGGAAGGGCGTTTAAAGAATGGGTCGAAACAGGACGGGTTCAAATGGGGAGCTCGTTTCGGGAACGGGTCGAAACGGGACGGGTTCAAACGGGAATGGGCTGTTTCGGGCGACAGCCATCGGGCCGGGTCGGGCGGGGCCTAGAAATTAAAAATTCTGTCGGGCTCGGGCCGGGCCCGGGCCGTGTCTCTTCCGGGCCGGGTCGGGCCGGGCCTAGAAATTAAAAATTCTGCCGGGCTCGGGCCGGGCCCGGGCCGTGTCTCTACCGGGCCGGGTCGGGCCGGGCCTAGGAATTCCGGCCCGTGCAGTGCTCTATCAGGCATTGCGGCCAGGAGCGGGAATCGAGAAGATGGCGGGAGTAGCAGACGCGCAGACTATCGAGATGACGATCTTGCGAAAACGAACACGCCTCGCAGCTACACTAGATGATTTCCTCGGGTCTTCTGACGGCGAGACGACGAGTTTCTCACCATCGCCGCGATTACTGGAGATTGCTGCGGTGGCAAGGAGCGCCCGAAAAGCACGAATTTCGTGGAAAGCGGCGCGAGGCGTTTCGATGACAGCGTGTTTCGCTTTCTTGGAACTAATAATGATGGCCAACAGCTTCGTGACCCCATCGACAATCACGTCCACGATGTTTATTTCTGTGGGACCGTCAAATCCGCGTGTAAAAAAATAGAAGAAATTGACAGCAGACGGGCACCGTGCGCTGACCTACGCAAAATAAACGAACAAAACGCGAAGTGACGCAAGGTGGAGCTTGCCGCGGTGCGCCGTAAAACGAATATCATCTTCGCTCAGAGCAGAAAGAATAAAGCGGTACTTACTTATTTAAAATCGGAATATATTTGCGTTACCTTCAATTTATTTTGACATGCAGGGACGTAGTTACTGATCCAGTGTTATTGCGTAGTTCTTGCCGTCTCCCTTAATTTCCAGATGTTCTTCGTTCGTTTGGCACGTGTATCCCTCATGCTGAAAAGCGCCGACGTCGTGTTCGCGCTAACAGTGTCCGACAGTGCACATAAATACACGTACGAAGCCGTTTTACCACAGTTTTTAATGCGATAAATTTGAAAGAAAAACGCCGTAACTGACCAATTTTTTCGTCGGCCTCACTGAGAAATGTTCTAAGCTACCTAGTACGTACGAATTATTCGGGATATTTGCTCTTACGATCGAGCGCAGGGCGAAAATGCGCTCACTTTTTCCCATAGGAATGCATTACCGGAAGTCCATTTTGGGCTGGTTGCTGTCTGCTTCACTGGTCTGCTTCAATTTGCGTCAGCACACTAGCGCCACTTGAACCTCTAGCGTACATTATAATAACTCTATGCACGCGACCACGCTGACCCGGCTGACCACGCTCTCGTATTCTGTAAATAAACATGGCGTCCGAGGCTGTGTGGTTCAGTGTGGTCTACGCTATAATTTGCGTTTACATACTTACGCCGCCGACAGAATTCACAACCGCCGGATTGACGCTCACACATCTATTCGGGAGGTTCATCGACAAGGAAGACGTCAAGTTCGTGGAGCACCACATCCAGAGAACGCTGCTGACTGTCGTCGTCCACACCTTCCTGCCCCTGGGTAACGCTACATTTCGAACACATTCTAGCGTTTAAAAGGTCATTCGACGCCGACGATAGCACGAACCGGCGCAGATTGTTAGCCTAGCGCTAAAGATCGCGCTTGTTTCGCGGTTCTTGCCGTGTCACATTCGAGTGTCATTAATGTGACGTGTCGTTCATCCGCTGCCGTGCTCTTCTTGCGAGGATGATGGCATGATGCATTCTGTCCCCAGCGACCTAGCACGTAGTGGCAGTAAAAGTGAGGATGACTGGCTTCTCGTTATCTGGGCCGAAGCATTTGTTGCGTAATTTCTTCGTTATTGATTCAAGCGTCGCCCACTTCGAGGGCGAGATCGTGACGCTCTTCGCGCGCTGGATCGGTGCTTGGTTTCGTGCAACTTCCACGTGGGATGTGTATGTTTTCCCGTGGGAAACAACTTTTCAGTAGTTGTAACGGCGGCAGCAACCGCGCGATAAAGGTACGAGGCTGGCAATCGAGTGGTTCACGCTGCGGGCAGAAGAGCCCGTTCACGCCGTTTTCTTGCGTTGCATTAGGTTACGGGAGCTGCTTACGTCGATGGATGGAGGCTAGCTTGCGCCGTCTAGCCTCGAAACCCAAAGTATGATTCATCCCTTCGCCCTGAGCCAATTTGCACCCCCTCTGCATTTTCCAATCACCAGGCAGTGTGGGATATCTCCAGATCACCTTTGGGGATCTGGCGAAAAAATCTAAAAACATATCACCCTTTGCCTTCTCCATTGTTCCTTTTTCGCCGCCACAACCTAGTGCCCCCATCAGATCCGTTACCCTTTCAGGGAGGGCGGAGTGAAGCCCCATGTACAGTCTCCGGCAATATGAAAGACCCACTGGGAGCGCGTGGCCGAGGCGGTGGCTGGCGGGGGCGCTGCGAGCGCTCCGGGCAATTCCATTCTGCTTCGAGGAAAGGACGCTCACTCGGGCTCAGCTCAGCGAAACGCGCTTATCAGTTTGTGCTGAGCCCCGAGTGAGCGTCCTCCCCTCGAAGCAGAATGGAATTGCCCGGAGCGCTCTCAGCGCCCCCGCCAGCCACCGCCTCGGCCACGCGCTCCCAGTGGGTCTTTCATATTGCCGGAGACTGTACTTCCAAACCAAATGTTCTGGTGTCTCAGTCTCACAATGGTATATGGCACATAATGTATCTATCTCTTAAAATTTAGCCCTATATGTCTTTGACCTTAACACTCCCATTCTCGCCTCAAACAGCAAAGAACTTCTATGCAAATTATCAAATACCTTTTTCTTTCTTATGTCTGGCATTTGTGACCTGTACGTTGTTAAAGAGAAGCTGAAGAGGGTCTTTGAAAAAATGAAAGTGTAAAGTCTAGCATATTTTTGTCCTGCAAATTTGAATATTGCCAGCATTTGACCCGAACGTATCAATAGACGAGAGAAAGTCCGAAAAACTAACTGCTGGGTATGATGTCATACCCAGAGATTAAAACTGCCTTGCGCTTGCCGCTTGTGAGGGAATGTGTACAGCGTTTTTGATTGCTCGGGTAAAGCATGCGGAAGGCGCAAAAATGTTGAGATCTCTGCACGATGCGTCACAATTCTCTCCTTCAGTGCTATTTTGAAAGTGCTGTTGTGGCTACTTGGCAAATCGATCTGAAACATAATTTCGATATTTGTGGTCAGGGTGTCGAACCGGAACCGTAAACCGGAACTGAACCGGTGTTTTTAGCCAAACTGAACTGAACCGAAATCTTTGCCTCCATGTTGGAACTGAACCGGAACTGAACCGAAAAAATATATAATGGTAACCGGTTAAAAATGGTTTATGGTCAGTTTGTTTTGCTTTTTTGTTAGTCGAAAAATGAACATTTGGGAGTAAAAGATTGGCAGCTGTAATTCATGTATTAATCAAATCGTCATATACAGCATTGCAGTGTATGAGAAAATGTGGGTTTTCGTGGTGCTTTTGTATAGACCTATTGCTATATTACCCAAGCATCAAGGAGAATGCAGGGATTGGTATTCCACGCGCCGCACGTGTTGGCCTCAGCAGTAGTAACTTTTCTAAAGCAAATACGTAAAACAAATGGCATCTTGCATGCGCGTTCGTCAGCACTTTATTTCGGTTATTAATTTCGAACCTTTTATACGGGGAAGGCGTGCGCGTGAGGCGCGTGGAACACCGATCCCTGCATTCTCCTTGATGCTTGGGTAATATAGAAAATGGTATATTGGCACTATGATTAACCATGTGTCACATGGTCACGTCATGTCATGGTGTCAAGACATGCTGTTAAGTAATGCCACATCACGTGACATCACAGGACTCACTGCGTCAAGCCAATTTAAATTGAGAATGGCACTAGATTTATTAATTTTGTCTTTTTTTGGCATTGATAAATTTAAATTCGGAGTTTATCGGAAAAGTCTGAATGGACAAAAAGTTTACCGGCGGGTGTTTTTCAGATTTTTCCGAAAACACGGAACCCTAATCATAAGTAAATGCACCTTCAAATTATCTCTCTGCAAACCTTTTCCAACGTTTTTATCCTCGATAGGCACATATAAAGTGATTTAAAATAGCCTTAAAAAATTTCTGATTTTGAAGCTAATTTAAGTAACTATGTTCTTGGCACGTATATAACTCCTCAAACTTTTATGTGGTGAACAGAACTTTTACGTGTCTGTGGGCTGGATAAAAACAAAGTACACAGGGGCACATGGAGGAACTGTGACGATTACGCACGCAAAGCGTCAGAAGTGTCCAATTGAGTAGCTGCCATGTCGAGTAGAGCATGGAATACTACTTCGTTTTATTAAACAAAAAATAATCAATTAGTAAGGGTGATGCTTATTCGCCAATTGAATTGACCGGCATCTTGTCGAGAACAAACCTCAACAGCCAGGCTATACCAGTTTATCCTAAATAAGAAAAAGTTCACTTGGGTAAGCACTATTTTAGGCCAGATTCAATCTCAGTACGAAGGTGCTTATAGATTAGTGTCAACGATTTCGATCACTCCTTTTTGCATGATTTGTCGCCTGCATCACGGTGCTGAGTGTAAACAATGTTGGTTAGAAAAACAAGCATTGTGATTGCTGCTCAGTGTTTCTATAAAAGATAGAATGAAAGTGCTTGTCCTAAAACTTTCGTGACAATTTGAAAATTTTATTGCTTTTAGCTTGTCATCAATTAAATATTGTGAAACATATTTCGTAAACCATAGTTCATGATGTATATGGAGACGAAGTGCCCATTCATGATATTATGCACTGTAATTAATTCCTTAGTTCAAGGGCACAACCGCAATTTAACTTTTAACACTGCGATGCAAAGTTGTACCAATCATGGGTATTTTAGGCGACCTGCCACACTTTGCAACATTTTGATTCAGGTAAAATATATGTGATTCTGGTAAACATAGGGATATTGAGTTGTATAAACATAATGTTTTGTATCTTAATGTTCATTTTCTTTCACTTTTGTGTCGAAATTAAATAACAGAATTTCATATTTTTCGTACTTAAAAATAAAAGTGGAAAAAACATAGTTTTCTTCTATTGGTTGTACAATCAATAGAAGAAAACTATATTGTTAATCTTTTCACGGCATAAATAGTGCCTTTTGCCAGAATAACACAAAAAATATATTCGCAATTTAGCAGTTCAAACCGGTTTGAACCATTTTGAACTGGGTTGAACCGTTATATTTGCTCCCCGTAACTGAACCGAGAGCCGTGAACCTGAACTGAACCAATAAAAATTTAGGTTCGACACTCTGTGATCTGAACGCCAAATGAAGACAATTTAGCTATTTCTTCTCAAAAACAGAACCACTTCAGTTTCCCTTTAAAGCTGATTTTTCTTGCGTTCTTCCCTCCCACATTTTTCTTTCTGCCTCTTTCACTCCCTTTTTCACTGAACTGATCTGCTGAGCCCTATCACTAGTGTGCAGGTATCTAAATGTCAGCTTGTGGGTTCGGTTTGTCCATTTTGTGTTTAAACCTTTTGTGTATAAATACTTGAATACTTTCCGTGCCCACTGACCATCATCCATTTCAGTTAACCTATCTTCAATTTTAAATTTACTGATTGCCTCTCTGCTCTCAAAGGACCACCATCCCATTTCCCAGTGCACTCCCTCATTTGGTGTGTTACAATGCACTCCCAGTGCCTATCTGCCTAGGCTTCTTTGTCGAATTTCTAGTCCTGATTGAACCTCTGATTTTATGCACAGCACTGCATTGCCAAAAGACAGTCCTGGCACCATGACTCCTTTCCATATACCCCTGACCACTTCATATCTATTATAATTCCATAATGCCTTGAGTTTCATACCTGGAATTCTTTTCCCTTTTGTAGTTATATTTTTTCATGTTCCTCTAGGTATTTCCTTCCGTCATTGAGTCATACTCCCAGATATTTGGATTTTTCTACATAGTCTATTCACTGTCTTGTATTTTCAGGGGTTCTCTTTTTTCGTTGTTGAACACGATTACTCCAGACTTGTCACTACGTAAACTCGGGCCGAAGGTGTCCCTTTCCTCTGCACATATTCTAGTTCCTCTAATGTGTTGCGGTTATCTGCCATGAGTACAATGTCGTCTGCATACATTAGTCCTGGAGTTACTTTATTACATTTCTCCCTTCTTCCATATAGCTCGCATCAGAACCTAAAATTCAACATGAGGAAGATATGTATCTTTCTCATGTTTAATTACTGTTACCGACCCGCTCGTTTTGTACTGAACCTCAAATGTTTTGCTGTAATTTCTTTTCCATTTCGCTTACCGTAATATCTCGAGAGATGCCCCACACCCGAAAGATAATACACCCCTATTTTTGGCACATTTGCTTTTTTTTCATAAACACCGAAAGATAGACCAATTCCAGTGATATACCACTTGCTAAATCTCCCAAGTGCCCCAGCTCGCACTCGAGGAATCATGGGAACAATGTTCCTTCAGTCCCCTAGTGATCGGTAATTTCGACTAGTTTAATGCTTACACACTTTTGAGTGTAATCCAGAGTCGTCACCCTGAACAAGCGTCGTGTAGAGTCCAAAGGCCTGTCCTCTCATTTTTAAAACTTCTCGTCAATGTCGGCGTTTTTTGTACTGTGTGCATCCACCCTTCAACCTGGCTGAGCTGCAGAAATCTCTTAAATTATTGTCAATCTCGTACAGCTTCAAAGATGCTGATATTAACTTAGAAACGCTATAAATACTATAAACAGACCTGTTGACTCCGAGCGAAATCCTGGTTTTGGTTGTTGTGAATTCTCGGCTTTTTAAGCAATTGAACAACATTCATGAGAATGATAATATTGTAAGAGATTTCTGTAGCTTAGCCAGGTTGAATTGTGGATAATTCACATTTCTTAGGCCAATCATTGTGGCAAAGTATGCTTGCATTTATCGGAACAGGCGCGTTACGGTGCTCCATTCTTTTACATACTGCTTTCATTTGAGATGCTTTTCTATATGTATGTGACTCAATATCCTTTCTTATTTGCAGGATTTTAGAGAATGAGAATTTAACGGTAGCAAAGTCTGATCAATACTGAATTTTCAGTATGAACTGCGAGAAACACCCCGTGAACTTCTCCAGAAATAAACCCTAGAAACCCACTGAGGTTGACCTCGAAGGACCCAATAGGGACCTCTTGTTTGTGGGGGCCTGCATTACTTTCCTCCAAGGGTGGCACGCGGAGTATATGAGAGAGTTTCGGAAGTCACTCAAGAACAACAGCCTCTTTCTTCACTCGGTGGCATATTAAGTTACTCTTAAGTGGATTTAATGGATAACAACGACATGATTAGGGAGTGCATAACTAAAGCAAACTCGCCCGACAGAGAAGGCACTGAAAAATGGAGCCAACAAATCTAAGGCAGCACAGCTCCATTGCTCGAGTGTAGCCCACTTTTTCTGGCACTCCACACAGGCTACTTCTTTGGGTTCACGCATCTGATTGAGGATGACGGCGTGGTGGAGCTGTGGCAGTCCAACCTGCTGTGGCAGATCGGGCTGGCTGCGTCCTGTCTCGTCTTTACGGCCGGCATCGTGCTTGCCTTCAGCTGGTCCATGGCAGACTGGTCCCGCCACCCGGTGACGCAGAAGCTCCTGGTGTACGGCAGTCCGTGGCGGCTCATCGCCATGCGCATCAATGCCGAGTTCTGCCAGGTGGACAAGTTCATCAGCGGCGCTGGGTCGCTCACCCGCACGGTGGTCACAAACTCCTGGATCATCAAGGCAACGCCGTACAGCCTGCACCTGATTCAGCAGACGGATGCGGTGCTGGAGCTGGTGAGCAGCGCCGAACACTCGGTCTCGGACGTGAGTGGGACGGGAGCCCAGTATCTCGACATCCTGGTGCGGAGCAGGAGGCCCGGCATTCCCTCCTTCACCATTCGGTGAGTCCGGAGCACCACTGTGCATCTTACGGCGGGATAAACGCCTTGCCATTCCAGTAGCGAGATGTAGGACTACATCCGCACATTTTTGACTCGCATTGCCGGGTAATCTGTAGACAAAGAAATTCTGGCAAGTTAGAGTTGTCTAATCCTTGTGCATTACACAAAAGTTAATATGTCGATGGTTAGTGTATCTGGAGACTAACAAAGAAACCAAAGTTGAGTTTTCATTTTAGTTAGGTCGTATATTCGTTTATTATAAAGGAAATCGACGGATGTTTTTTTACTGTTTATTTAGTTGTAAGATATCGGTGTATTTTGGTCATCTGCTTCTGGTCTAAGGGGGAGTTTTGTTTTACAAAAACAGTCCTAGCTGGAGCAAAAATCTCAAGAAATTGGTGTCTTCCGGTTTGAACTAATTTTGTATTTTTGACACTAATGGATGCTTATCGGTGTTTTTCGGTTTTAACCAATTTGATATTTTTGACACCGCCCTGTGTTTTTTGTGTTTTTTGGTTAAAACTGGAAAGTCTGTGACCTAATTATAGTTGTCCCTAAAGCGAGTGATTTAGAGATGCATCGGAGAGTAGCGGGTGCTTTCCTTTGAAGTAGAACATCATTGTTACGTTCTCAGTCGATATGATTTGCTGGCTGTGGCAGTCAGGAATGTCAGTCACATTCAACTCCCATAAGCAGGAGTGTATCATTTTTCCATTTTTTTTTTTTTTTGCTTTTTCGTTGCTGTTGCTTACATCCAAAAAGTGCCAACCGACACAACTGACCTTTTCCTTTTGCTCCGCTGCCCCTCTTTCTTGCCTTTTTGCCTCTCCATACCGCGCTTCCCGCCTGGACGGGCATGTCTGTGGACCTTGCTTGAAACGGATAAAGGCTTTCTAGAGCTCCTCAATTGAGCCACTCTAGCCTGTTCATCTTTTCATCTCCTGCTTTGGTGTGCATACAGGCTTCTCTTGTGCTTGGTTTTTCAGGTTGCACACATTTCGTATGGAGTTCCTAATTGTGCACTGTGCATGCATCGAGCGTTCCTGTTTTGCACTGGCATGCGCGTCTAGCTTCCCCACATTGCACTGGCAGGCTACGAGGAGCCAATGCGGTGGAGCATGTGCACTAGATTGATGCGCTCCAAGATTTGGTTTGCTCTCGTAGGCCTTGAGCGTCTAATAAAAAAATGTCAGCCTGTATGCGAATTAAAGGGATACTGCATCAAAACTTAAAATATACCTCTCACGTTCAGAAATAAGTTAAACATGATCAACTCTATTTGCTATAGACAATCGCACGCTTGTATTTTGAACAGATGACTATATTTTTCGTTCCAAAGGACCGATTTCAGCGAGCACTCAAAGATATGTCATCCCGGGAGACATGACGTCAGCTGGACCAGTACGGGCAAAGCTGTTTGGGGGCTGGCGTGGCTATGAGCTCCGCCACGTGGCGTCATCAGTGCATTGGAACCTGGCTGTTTTAGTTGCCCCTCCCCGCAGGAGTTGAATAGGCTGGGAGAGAAGGGAATGCGGTACGACAGGGCTTGCGCGCATGCAGCTTGCCGCCAACTTCCGCCGAGCGTTTAAGGTCAAAGTGACATAACAACATACGGTTTATTCCTTTTAAATAACGTTTTGGTGTCATTTCGAGCAAAAAGTTGGTGTCTGCGTGGTGTGGCTGGAACTTGGTTGACATTTAGACAACAAAATAGGGGCTAGAATTTTGTTGCAGTATTCTTTTAATACGGTAGTTCTCCACTTAAAGTCCATGAGGAATAAACTGATGCGTGTAAGTTGCTTCATGTCGATCTGTAAGTCCCCCAAAAGCATTATCAGTTATTAGGGTTTCCCGGTGGATCATACCTTTTTTTGTACCGCTGTCCTCTGAGAAATGTATCAAGGGGGTTTAAAGGGAAGCTAAAGTGGTTCTGTATTTGAGGAAAAACACTTAAATCGTCTTCATTTAGCCTTCAGCATCACGAATATCAAGCTTATATTTTAGATTGATGCACCAAGCAGCCAGAACAGCACTTTGAAGATAGCATTGAAGTTGCCGGCACATTTGGTGGGAGGAGAGAATTGTGATGTATTACACAGAGATCTCAACATTTCCGCTTCTTTCGCAAGCCTTACCCGAGCAATCAAAAACATTGCACACGTTTCCTCACAAGCGGCAAGCGCACGACAGTTGAGTTGAAACAAAAATACGCTAGAATTCACCTCTATCTTGTTTTTTCCAAGAACCTCTTCAGCTTCCCTTTGAATCATATTTGCTCACCTTCACCAAGATGATCAAATCTGTTGTGCAAAACCACAATAAAGAGAACAACTAATTGTGTGTGCTTTTTTTTTTTATATATATATATATCACTTCAATTGTACGTACAAAAATATGCACTATACCGCGAAATACCGGGGGAGCGCCCAGCCCACTTTCACTGGAAACTCGGTTAATGTAGACATGGGCACTTGTCCAGTCAAATCGGGTGGTCAACGTATAGTTGGCAAAGTTCCCAAGTTTGGGAAATGTTAACGGTGGGCGCTTGAACAAAGTGGGTCCTTCTGCGGTATTTTTTGGTAATTGTTTTAATCTGTAGCACTTTGTAGGAAAATGCAGGGTATTTCTTTTTAAGCTTAACAGATTTGTTTAAAAAAAGCTGTGAAAGCTACACTAATATGGGTTGTGCAGGTAAGTTGTATGGCTAGGGGGTAGCATAAGGGGCTAATTGTAACAATCGGTCCGCTTATTAACTAAAATATGTTAATGTTTTCAATGTTCAAAATAAACATGTGTTTCTAATTAGAAGTATGCAGAGTGTCATTAAAGAACATGAAAGCAGTCAATACTCGAACTGCTTGGAGCAAGCATGCTGGAGCGCTCGTTACTACTTGTGCAGTAACGCTACCAGTGCGATAACATGTCTGCCTGGTTTGTCTGTCACTTATCATCCGCATTTCTCGCCCCAGCCTTGTGCTTGTTGTGTGAGTGGTCACTATAGTCGGTGACTGGTCAAGAACAAAGTAGAAGCTCCTCCCAGCCCTTTCCACTTTAGTAGAGCAAGCGCTGGAGAGGCGACCTCCTCTCCACTGTTCGCTCCGCTGAAGTGGAAAGGGCTGGGAGGAGCTTCCACTTCGTTCTTCACCTCTTACCGGCTATGGAGCACACTGCACTTCCCACGCGCTCAAAGTCTCTAAAAAGGACTGATTTAGTGATTTTTGCTCTGCAAGTTTCTAATTAGAACCATATGTCCATTCTTACTAATTAAAAGTTAATGAACAAATTTTAGTTAATTATTTGACTTATTGCCACGATAACCTCTTATCTTATGTCCCCCTGGCCGTATAACTCACCTGCACAAACCACATTAGTATAGCTTTCATGATTTGTTTTAAACAAATCTGTTAAAGATCGACATACAACCTCGGTTTTCTGCAGGGAAGATAATCCTCTTAGCGCTCCCCTCTCCTAAGCTGCGAGGGGAAGCCAAGTTGGGGCAAGGTAAAACGTGGAGAGGATATAGGAGAGGAGAAGACGGGCAAAAGTTGGCCTTTAAGCTTAAAAAAAAAAACACCCTGTATATGCTGCTCCACCTTCATTTCACTGGAGAGATGGCAAATGAAAGCGATTCATTTCTGGTTTTGCTTAGCTTAAGGTGCATGGGCAGAAAGCATTTTGCAAACTGCAGTAGGCATACTACACTGGCCAAATAGCCTCTTTACAGCAGAGACACATTCTCTAAGGCAGACTTGACATCCTACCGTATAAACATCTATGCATTTCTAGCCTTTTTTGTCTCCTTGTGTGTTTGTACCGAGAGAGCAACTGGCTCATAGACGGTGTTAAAGTAATATCATTGTGCATTAGCAACGTTTTAAGTGTTATTTTCATTGCTTTATTTATCTGAAGAAGAAAGAATGTGCCTCTTATTAGGCCAATTCAAATTTTGTTCTAAAGGGCCAAACAAAACTGAAACTGTGAAGCAGAACTGTGCAAAAAGTTGGATTCAAAAGACGGCAGTTGAGCTTTCCTGTGTTCCATAGATCGGACATGCGCTTTCAATTACATCACATGGGTAGACAATGTGCTTAATGGGAGCTTGTTTCTCATTGCAGCGTCAATTCCATGGAATATAATGACCTGAGGGAAAAACTCCAGGCACCGTTGGACAATGTGCGCAACATAGTAATCCACCGCAGCCTCAGCGACAGGTTCACGGATGCCTTCAAAAGTCATGTCGTGCAAAATGCAAAGTACAAGCTGCCAGAAGGCATGGTTAGTGCTTGTTTTATTTAGCTGCAGACCAAGTGGCGCAAGCAAGTGTGGGGTAGTGTGTCAGATGGACACACAAAAAAGAAAGTAAAAAATGTAATGAAAAATACTGCGATAAAAAAAAACGTCCTAATTAAACTAGTGACTGGCAGCAAAAAGGTAAAGCATCACTGAGGGCCCGGTGCAGGTGTGAGCTGAGAAGAAAAAAAACTTGGCAGGGACAGAATTGCTGTCATATACAGTTGAACTTTGATTTAACAAAGTCACCGGGACCCGCTAATTACTTCGTTAAATCGGGAAGTTCGTAAAATCGAGGAAGAGAGACTTCGCGCATGGGCTGCGTGGGGAATCCAAATTTGTTTGTTAAATCGGGAAGTTTTTAAAATCGGGTTTCGTTAAATTTAAGTTCAACTGTATTGTCCTAGGTTAAAAAGAAAGTTTACTGTGAGTAAGAAGATGTTCGGAGGAGGCTGGGTAAACCCCGAGGAACATTGAGCTCTTGGTGAATGTGGAATGAATCAAGAATCTCGTTTTGGCATGTGCAGGAACAGGTTTAAACTGCTCAGGCTACACAAAAGGTTGAATTTGTAGGACTAACAAACTCTTGAAAGTATCTATTGTAAAATCCCGTCAAGGACACCCCCTCCGGAGAGATCGCCCATCCCGTTTTTCTGGCTAAATATCTGTAACATAAAAATTCCGAAACATCGCCCACCCCCCAATTCTTGTCGGATGTCAAGTGATGTCCGACGGGAATCGCGCATCAACGGCGCTATCTGCGGTACCGGTATGTCCGAGAAGCGAGTTCACAGCAGGTTTCTGTGTTTTTGTCTGCAATCTGCACACGTGACATCGGCTCCCGTAACACGAGAGTTGTTCCCACAAGTATATTGCATCGCGAAATGCGAATCTGCTGCCTTCGCGATTTGCGGTATCCGTTCCCAAGTTCGTAGCGGATTCCCGTGTTTTGGTTCGCGATCTGCGCGCACAGTATCGATTCTTAGTTGTAACACATGCAAGTTGTTCCCACGTGTATATTGCATTGTGAAATGCGATTCTGTTGCGTCCACAATATTTGTTTCCTTGATGTGCGAGTTTGTAGCATAGTCTCGCGTTTTTGTCCGCGATCTGCGCGCAATATCAGTTTTCGTGACAGGTAAGGTTGTAGTGGGTCCCTGCGTCTTTATTGCACCATGAAACTTGAATCTGCTGCGTCCGTGATCTTCGGTATCCGTTCCCGTGAGATGCGAGTTCTTCGCACCGTGAAACGTGAATCTGCTGCGTCAGCCACTTGCGGTATCCTTTCCTGTGACACAGGAGTTTGTAGTGAATTCCCGTGTGTTTATCGCATCGCGAAACATGAATTTGTGGGTCCGCGATGTGTGGTATCAGTTCCTGAGTCACATGGTTTGTAGCGCCCCGGTGCTTATTAATTTTTGATAAAGTTTTGCTGTGGCATCTCCAAAGATAGCCCACCCCATGTTTTTCACCACTTATCTCCTAATTTTGTGTGGGCGTTCTTACCGGATTTTAGGGTATATTGATCCAGTGGAGCCGTAATATTTGTCAAGTCTCGCACATTCCCCTATGGAACGGGCAGAGACAGATTTATTTTGCAGTGGTTAGGAATATTAGAGTGAATTTAACTTGCGCGCAGGAAGGTTTTTATACAATGGGAGCAAGCCGCTATGTAAGATTGGTTCTGGAAAGGCTTTAAAAATCATTTGCCTCTGTCAAAAGCAGCACAGAGAGCGGTCATCGATAGTAGAGCCCAAACATCCATTTTCCCGCACTTCATTGACAGATACCGGTGAATCCCAATGCACACGTTGCATGAACGTGACTTTGATCTCATTTTGAGTTGCACGCACAGTCTCTACCTCGCTCTTCCGTAAGTCCCATCTGTGTGCAGTGGGGGAGGGCAGACGTGCAGGCTTGGGTTATTGGGAGGTCCCATTGGATTCGGGGAGAGTAAGCGTTCCAAGTGTCGCACTGCAGGGGTTGAATTCACGTCCTGCAGTGTGAGCCAGCAGGCAGCGAGGTATTTCACGGTCGAATTTATGCAAGAATGTTAGCGGCAAGGACCAATGCCTCCCGTTTTTCTCCTAGGAGCTGGAGCCATGCATTGGGTGCATGCAAGCAACAGCCAAGGTGAAGCTGCAGAAGCTGTGTGACGAGCCCTTGGTCGGGCAGTGCCAGCACTGTCTGTGTCACCCGATGTGGTGCGTCGACTGCATGGGCCGCTGGTTTGCCAGCCGCCAGGACCAGGCGCGCCCAGACACATGGCTGGGCAGCCGCTGCTTCTGCCCAACTTGCAGGTAGGCTCCCGTCGAGTTAACCATATGCAGACACAGGTCCCTGTCACTTCCCCCCCAAGTTCCATTTTTTTCGCACAATTTTGCATAGTCTTTTTTCTGGGGACCCCGAGCTGTCCCTGCACCTTGTGCTTGAGAGGCATAAACGGAAGCTTGATACCTCGGAGGTGGCCCGTGCAACAAGAATGCCAGGGGCGGAAACACTGCACAACCATCGTTATTGTCCGGATGTGTACAAATCCTTTGAGTAAGGGTCCCTTCCCACGTACGGTACAGTACAGTGCTCACTCAGTACTGATATGGCAAAGATTTTCCAGAGTTTCAAATGTAGTGAGAAGGAAAACTTGGTGGTGAGAGTGGGAACAGCAGTGCATGGTTTTGACGGTACCCCTCACATTTCTTACACGAGATGCAGGGAGGACGTGTTGCAGTGCATGCGATTTTAATGATTTACTTTCATTTGAGGACATGTTTGGTGGTGTGTGCAAAGAGCACTGTCTGAGTACTGTGTGTAATAAACTGTGGGTTTATTTACATGCTAGTAGGGAAGGTATGCTAGCCACTGGCTAGCCTGGTGCTTGCTCAATGGCGGCTGGGCTCTAGGTCACGAGATGTGGTCTTTCTTTAATGTCAGAGTTAGCACATTCGTTTAATATTTAAGTGCCAACGGGAGCTCCAGCATCCGGTAGGTTAGGTGGTGTGTCAAATCTGTCTGGGGGACGCCGCATCCGTTGAGGATAACGATTTGAGTATTCAGTAGGCGTCGTGGCTGCGTCTCCTGCCGAACCCGTCTGTACCACCGGAGGTGGGGCTGTTCCTGATAAACTCGGTACATCTCCAGCAGTTTCCGTGGATGCTCAGGACTGGCAGTTGGGCCCAAAAGCATCCGTGGGCGTGGTGTTTCACGACTTGATAACTGAGCACCCAGTTGGAAAAGATGACCGAAGTGAACCGAGACTGTATGGTGCCAGACCTCCACTAGATACCATAATGGTCCTCTTCGGGAAACAATGACCCCCAGGAGGGTTGGATAGCTCTCACGTCTTGCACTGGGACCTTATCTCCTGCATCAAAAGAATAGTGCTCATCGCTACTTGTCATGCGCCAATTGTTGCTGGCGTTGGTGCTTGATCACGGTCCGCTCCATACTTGGTCTGATCGAGTCAAGGTGAGTGTGAAGCGGCTGCTTGAAAAACAGTTAAGCCGGTGTTCTCACTGTGAACCTACGAGGAGTGCCACGATAATTCGGGACAAACCTGGTCAGCCTTTGGTTCTCGTTTCCCCATGCGTTTTTCCTGCAGCGGATTCTTTCGTCCAAGCTTGCTTGAAAGTCTGTACCCCTCATTCAGCCACGCCATTAGAAGCGGGATGATATGGCGGAGTTCTGATGTGCTTCACTCCGTTTGCAAGACGTTTTCAAAGTCTTCCGAAGTGAACCTCGGACGGCGCTATATAGGACGCAAAGAGGTTCCACAGTAATTCAACAGTGCGAGCTGCTGTCATCGTCCTTGTGGGCAGAACTTGGATCCACTTGGAGAGGCTGTCCACGACCACTGGGCAGTGCTGCTTGTCGATGCAGTCTACATCGATCCTCTCCCATGGGGTTCTCGCCCAAGGCTGTAGGTGAAGAGGGGCAGCAGCTGGTTGGTTCTGCATGCGTGTGCAGGCGTAGCATTTCTTAACAAAATCTTACATGTCCCGGCCTAAGGCTAGCCACCAGAGAGGGTTATATGCCTTGGCCTTCGTACGACCGACGTCTGGGTGAACCTCGTGCAGCAGCTGTAATGACTTGGCACCCCCATATACGTTAGCCTTGGTCTGTTGAGAGCTGCTCCCCTTTTTCGAAGTGAGTCAAATTCAAGTTCTTTATCTATTTTCTCTTTGTTTGGAGAAGGGAGACTGAGAAAAAAAAGCAACACTGTTGCTTGATGAGCCTCGGCCTCCCCGCAGCAGCAGAGAGGGCAGCATGCACATCTGCAATATTTTAGCAATACAATCCAACCCACTTATAACGAACGCGATAGTTGCGCGAAAAGTGGTCGTTTTATCAGTAGTTCATTCTATCTGGACTTACCTTTAAAGGGATGGTGAACCGTAATTTGGATTTCAAAAAAAGAATGCTGGAGATGTAGGCGGGACGTTACAATCCCTACAACACTACTAGTAAGGCGATATCTCAAATGGACAGCCGTATTTTTGGAAAAAGAAGTTGAGATGGAACCAGGCCGACGAGGCGCGTGACCGTCAAGATACCTAGTTTCCTCCTCTCTTCACTTCGCTCCCTCAGGGCCGCGAGGCGGAGAAGACGCGCAGCCGTTCCCTCTCCTTCTCGGAGAAACATGACGTCAACATACCTGCCAAATGCGCCTCTTTTTGAAAAATACGGTCATCTGTTCGCTGTATGAGTGATGTTTTGGTGTTTGTAGCATCCCGTTGCACACTTTTGCCGCTTGTTTCGGGGAACCCAGATTTCGGTTCACCATCCCTTTAAGGGGGACTCTATTAAAAAAAAGTCAACTTCTGTACCACCTGCTTGATTTCAATCAAATATGCAGTGGAAGTTTATACGAGTGGCAAGCCCATCCCTGCCACATTTCATTATCCTATCTCAATTCTTAAACTTGTAATGAATGTTACAATATGGAAGAGAGTGTGTTCGCTTAAAAAAACTATTGTTTTAAAATAAAATAAAATTTGTCATTTTTATGTGCAATATTGCCACGCGCATTGCCGAGCGAGCGCGTGCGTGGCCGAGTGGTTAGCGTGCTTGACTGTCGCGCGAAGGATCTGGGTTCGATTCCAGGGAGCGGAATCATCTTTTATTTATTCTTTCTACATGGCGTTCTCGTAAGTTCGAGAACCTTCTCGTCCGATCCAGTTACGAATGTTCTACGAGCCGAACGTTCTGGGCCCAATGTTCCAGAAGTCCACGCGTGTACAAAAGGGGCTCCGCATGGCATGCTGGAGCCAGTCTCGCCCCAGCGCTCGATCCTGCGGTTTCGCCGACATCGACGCCCGCGACACTCTGCTGTTTTCTTCTCTTCCCTTTTTGTTTTGAGCACAAGTTCGCCCCATTAAACGTTTAGTTTCTTTAGTTATCTTTGCCTCATCAATTGTCATTCGTGACAATATAGTCATAGGAATACCCATAGCACATACCCAGCTGGTTATTTTGCTATATTGCATTGTTTTTCATAAGTAGAACTCCATAAGATTACTTTATTTTTTTTTCATGTCTGCACTTTTTTAGAAATGTAGTATTTTTTAGCATAAAAGAATGTTAAAGTAGAAAAACTAACCAGCCAGCATGTTCCTCACAAAATTCTATCCCAGAAAACCACCTAAGAATAATTCTCTATTGTGTAATAACAAAACAATAGTTTTCCTGAAGTGAACTTTATGCCGAAAAGTGGAACGGAGAAAAATGCATTGAAAGTGCTCGAACCCCTACCTTTTCTTTAGCATCGGTGGATAGAAAATAATTTATAAAGAACTATGCAGTGTAAACTAATGAAACTTTGTGGGAATACTCTCTAGATGTTGGTGGATGTAAATATGACATTTTTTCAAAATCAACTTTTTTGCAGAAATTGTTTTTGTGGGTAGTGTCCCCCCTTAAAACATGTAATAAATAAGGATAATGAAGCTGGTATTGGTAGTTTCACTCTGCCAGCTCTTTATTTAAAGAAACTGTTTGCACAATTCTAATGGGCCCCCAATTCTAATGCGCAGGCAGACTTGGCTTTCAGATAAATAAAAAGTAAATTGCTGCCGATTCTCCCGCGCAGTTAAAATAATGAAGATTGACCACATACTTTATGAAATGCATGCCGACACAAAAATAAATGCCGTGCACTAGTCCGACGATGGTTCTTCGCTGTTCACAGAAATAATTAATACTTGCTTTGGTCTAAAGCGTTTTAAGTGCCGCGCTTCCTGCGCATGCACGAGTGCACGGCCGTCGCCTCTGGCAGGGTCGTCTTTCAAACGACACTTTGCGAGCTCGTCGGGTGGCTGGGATTGCGAGGCCACGCAGTGCTGCTCCGTTGTTATCTTTTTCCGCCAGCGTGATGCCCTTTCGTTTAAATAAAGCCTCCTATACTAAGTCTCATTCTACGATGGACTAAAGCTCAATGCTACAGGCCGCCGGGTCCAATCATGAGCCTGTTAGAAATAACGTGGTATATTTGCTTCGTCGTGCGTATCAGTGCGCCAAGACGCGTCATTCGGAGTCCAGTGTTTCGTCTGCTTATCGAGCCCTCACGGCGGCTCCATCTGCTTCTTAGGTTTTTGCTCTACTTACACCTGCGTTCCCAGTTCCTTGCCACAGCACGTATGGTCGCGGCATTCAAGGAATCTCGACTGCTGATCCATCTGCGTGTGCTTCGTCCGTGCCGGCATCGGCCTCGCACCTCATACCTACCTCCGTTATCGCTAGGATTGGATTGTTATGGCTAATTAGAAACGACTTTATGTCAGTGTTGCCTGCGTGCACTCCAACTTCTCCAAAGAGTTGACATGTTTACGAAATATGGTAGGAAATATTCCTACTAGGAATATTTCTGAAGCTAAATACCATGTACCTTTACCACACCAATATAAAAAAGCGCGCTTACACAACAGAGAACCATATGCGTAAGTTTAGTGCTCTTTGTACTCTGCGTATCAAAATTTCTCTTGCGCACTCTTGCAATGTGGATGCAAGCTTTTATGAGGTAGTGCTCCTCCCGTCAGCCTTTAGGCCCTAGTCCATCGTGGGGTGAGACGGAGTATAGTAGATTTTTTTTCCCCCCGTTTTAAGACGACGGACACGACTCCATGTGAGTCCGTAGACACGAGAGAACGTACATGATACGGATACCAAAATGGCAAACGTAAACAAACGGTCACAATGGCGATTGGGCTAGCCGCCTTATATTGAGCACCGAGTTTTTCTTGAGTTGAACAGAGTATGCAAACATAGAACAAACGAACGTAGCACCGCTTGAGAGTTGACAGTTGACATCCTCCTTCTTCTCCTCCTTCCCACACGCACAATCAGCAGACTACGCGTCCCGGGAGGGCATTTTTGCTTTTGTAGTTTTGTTTTCTCCTGGAAATGGCCTGAAAATCTCCCAGAGCGCCGCACCCGAAATGTAGCTCTTTTGATCTTTTCTTTTCACGCGCGGGAGTATTTTCTTTTTTTTCTTTTTCCGAAAGCTGATTTTGAGTGTTTGTTGTAACAGTATAATGCTTTGAAAAATGGTTGTTTTATCTGGACCAATTTTAATGGGTGGGGCCCTGAATTCCTTTATTTTCTGAAAGCTGGTCATTATAACTGATAGGTTGTTATATGTGGAATTGTTATAAATGGGTTTGACCTAATACTTACGATACAAAAAATATTCAACGGGTGGTAGGGAGGAGAACGGTGATACCCAGGAAGATTAATGAATTCCATGGACACTCCGTCACAAGCATTGAACAAACGCTTTTGCCGGGATTCACTCAACACTTCTAGATTCACTTCAGTCAAGCAATTTAAAAACTGTGGCACTGTGCATTTCAACGTCTGATTACCAGATTATTCGAGATAAAGTCTGCGGGGCTTTATCTTGAACAGAGGTGGGCCAACCGTTCAGGGTAAAGTTGAGCACTTTCACCACAATTCGATAGCTTGTGACGGGAAGCAGTTCCGCGTCGGAGACCGCACGTACCGACGTGTCTTTGTTTGGGTCGCTGGAAGCAAGGTCTGAAAACAAGCGCAATGGAGCATCTGCATTGCTGTGTTCCTCGGACTTCCGGTACACAATGTCGTAGTCGTACGAGAAAAGTAGATATGCTGTTGGGACCGAGTTCTCCAGGCAGGATCAGGCACGGCCAGGCCGGGACAGGAACCGAAGGATGATTCCAGGCAGGAACATCGGGAGACAGGAGGGCATTGTCTGAGAGTACACTCTTGCAGCTCCTTTTGAAGAGTCACATGGCCCCATCTCCTCAGTAAGGAGTCCCTGCAGTGAATGGTAGCGAAGCATACATTTGAGGAGTCTGAGCCTCGCCCAGGGGGGCTATGTAGCACTTTTTGCACTCCCAGGATACTAGGGAGAAGGAAGTGACGTCAACAACGCAGCAAATGCAGATTGGATGTTGATTTTGTTTTCTTCTGTCAACATCCAATCTGCGTTTGCTGTAGTCGTTAACGTCACTTCCTTCTTCTAAGTCTCCTGGGAGTGCAAAAAGCACAACATAGCACCCCAGGTCTCTTTTCCTCGCGCACATGCCCGTTTCACACCAGCATACGTCCATGCACCGCCTATCGGTTCAGTTTTAAACATTAACCCTCAGGTGCATGCTCAGAACCATATACTTAAAAACAACTCGATGCCAACTGTCGAGACAAAGAAAATGCACACACACGCAACATTTAACTCGTCGAGGTTGCTGTGTAGAAGAAACAGAATGTTGTCAACATGGATGGATTCAGACTGTTTTGCCTCTCTAAAATTAATGCCCGCTAATGAGAAGTCTCTCTCCATTGGTGCACTTGATGCTGGGGTGGCGTGCACAAACTGTGCTGCAAGAGTTAGGTGTGGAAGCTCGTACTGGCGCAAGTTCCAACACTCCAGAGAATTCTATTCAGTCTCCTTGATCTACCGTGAAGAAGTCACTTGCAGACTTGTACTTTCTTGTGGCTTGTACGTTTTAGGTTTTCTTTGCTCAAAGAACATTTTCCGCTCTGCCAAACAAGAACACGTTTACCCGGGACGACTGATGCTCCTGCATTCTTTACTTTTTCTAGGGACAGCATTTTTGGCGAGAAAGAATGTTCTAGCGATCTTCGGTGAGAATCAAATCTTTCTTGACGTAAAGAACAATTTTCTCCGTGATTGGCACCTTGTATCTAAGAGAGTAGTTCTCTGTTGTAGGACATTTGATGCTGTATTTCAAAGTATCGCTGACTAATTCACTTTGCACTGTATGTTTGCACACGTTTATGGGCTACCTCGGCAAAAATGTAGATGCTGACACGCAGATATCTGCACCCGATTTGCATCCGCAGCCCCTGGAATCCGCATCAAATCCGCAATCCGCCAAATCTGATACATTTTTATCCGCATCCGCCAGTTTACTGCGGATATCTGCGGATATGCAGGGCTCTATTGATATGCATGGCCCCAGTGGTAACGGGGGTGCATGAGTTAAGAAATGGCAGCGAATTTAGGATGAAGTTGCCACAGGGTAGTAGTTTTACTCTCACTTACAAACTATTCAATACAATCAACTCAAAAGGGAATTATTTGTATCGGTCTTATAGCCACTTCACTCAGAAAAATGACCGGATGACGCCTAGAAAGATGATAGTGCATTTTCACATGACTATACGCCATTTTTCTGTTAAAGGTTGGTGAACCTTAGCCTTGGCCTCAGAAGTTGTGTACTGTACTGGGAAAGCCAAGGACACGAGCGCGTGGTTCTTGAAAGAGCAAAATTTCACCGAAATCAAATTTGGGGAATGTAGTTTGAAGTCGGGAGTTGCACTTTCCTCGGAAAGTGCCAGAAAAAAAATACTTTAAGTAAAATACAAGTACATTCTCGGAGAATGAAAGCATTTGATTGTGTTCCGCATCTTCGCTTACTAACGGAGCTCTCTGCACTCAAAATAAACGTTAGCGTCATTTCATGGATTCACAATTTTCGTCACGAATACAGTTTTCAGTTGTGAGCAGTCACGAATCTGGTTTCTGCAACGTTACGTCAGGAGTACCCCAGGGGTCGGTCCTCGGCCCTCTCCTTTTTCTAATATTTATTAATGATGTCCCTCAATCCATTTTCTCCAAAGTGCGTCTTTTCGCAGACGATTGTGTATTATACCGACCAATTGCTTCTCCGGACGACCATGTGCTCCTTCAGAATGACTTGTCTACCATAATGAATTGGTGTTCCGACTGGCAGATGAGTCTAAATTATTCAAAGTGCAAACTCATACGTTTCAGTCGTAAGCGCTCTGTTTCATCATGCATATATTCTCTCGGCACCCAACCCATTGAAGACGTCCCATCATACAAGTACCTTGCCCTTGGTGTACTCCTTACCTCCGATTTATCCTGGGCCGCTCACATTGAATCCATTTCACTCGCCGCATCAAAAACTTTGGGATACATCCGAGGCTGCCTACACTCTGCTCCTCCGAATGTTTTGTCTTTTAGCCCACCAGACCTGTTTGCTCGAAGCACTAACCGCGGCTAAAGTTAGCCGCAGTACCTAGGAGAGGGATTTTTAAATCACGTGACTGGCTCGGTAGGGATGCGGGGAAACATGGCGGTGCTCCAGTGAGTGAGCGCCGCTCGCTTTGGAAATAATATGTCGTTGTAGCTGCAATATCGGGCGCGTTAGGCAGCAAGGAATGGTGCTGGAGGCTTTCGCTTTGCCTTACCTCACTTAAACCGCAAAGCATGGGCAATACATCGCCGCATTTTTTAAAGAGTGTTTCGATTCTGGGCATTCCTAAGCCTAAATGAACACGGTTGTCGGCATGGCAGCGTCTTTGGAAAGCGGATTGCCTTGACTCAATCGGCCAGGTATTGATAGCACACAAAAGCAGACAGCGTCCCAACAGACTTTCTTCTAAATTATCCAAGCATCGCGAGGAGAATGCTGGAAGTGTAATTCTACCAAATACTTTATTCTACGGTCCACGCACGCTGGCCTTCCTCTTATAAATGATTCGAAGTAAAAAAATCATAATAAGGCTTTAACGAACGCGCGTGCAAGGCAAAATTTGTTTTATACTTTTTGCTTTAGAACGGTTACTACTGCAGACGCCAGCATGTGCGACGCGTGCAACTACAGTCGTAGCATGCACCTAGAGCCACTCGATATGGCAGCGTAGCTGCCAGAGTAGCACCACGCTTTTCCCTGTGCCGCCTCTCACCGCGATTGGTCACACGCGGTACCATAGCAACGAGCTGAGCTGGCTCGGTTTCCGTAGCAACCGAGTGACGACTCGTCACGTGACCTCTCAAGAGCCGTGATCTCATCGGTAAGACGGCAGCGCCCAGAGTTGGTGGATGCGAGTTTGTTCGGTGCGCGGATTCGTGATGTGCCGCAGCTTGCCGACGATTTAGGGCTCCTTCATGCTTTCTGACGTAGGTATAACGTGAAGACCTGAAAGAATGATACTTTATACCCTCTCTGTGCAAGATCGCTCTGGATATTAGCACCTGTGCGACAGCATCATTAATATCGAATTAGCGGTGCTTGGGTTTCCAGATGTGTTTGAGGATCGATAAGATATTTAGCATGCAATTTTCGCATTCTCTTAGCTTTATTTGAACGTTGAAGTGTCTGAGAATCGATGCGAAATCTATGCGTCGCATGTTGGGCCTTGGGGAATTTGTTTCAGCCCCAGGTAACCGCATGATCACAAACCTTTAGCGAGGAAGCTCCTGCAATGTTTACGTTTTGTACTAATCAACCAGGGAACCTGGGTTCAATCCCCACCCCTGCCCGTTTCGATCTGGATGAGCATCGTACCGGCCTGCGGTTGTGTATCACTACTGCGTGGTGCACGTTAAAGACCTATAGAGCTAGCGGTTCCACTGCATTGGCTAAATTGCTCATCTACACCGAGTGACTCGTCGCAACTTTGAAATGGCTGACCAAGTACATGCTGTATAAATATTCACACAACTCCCAAGTATACTAATCAATGATTTTACGATATGCGCAGCGCAAGTTCGTCTGCTTTTTTTTAGTAGGGGTCGTGGTTACGTCAGAATGCCGAGCTCTGATTGGTTCTGAATAAAGAATAGTGGGTAGACCTCAAGGCAGCTTGCTTTTAGGTCTGCCCACTCTCCTTCAGTCGGAGCCACTCAGATCTCGGCCTTCTGACGTCACTATAACCCCTGCAGAAAGAAGCAGACGAACTTGTGCTCCACATAGCTTTTAGGATAATATTTTCGCATTTTTCTAGCTTCCTTTGAAAGTATGAATTTCTGAGAATCATAACGAAATGTATACGGCGTGTGTAGGGCCTAGGGGAAATTGTTTCAGCCCTGGGTCACCGAAGAATCACAGCATTTTTTAGCGAAGGAAGCTCCTGCGATCTTTAACCTTTTTTACTAATCGCCAATTTTACGAATTGGCAGTTCTGAAGATTTCGATATAACTTGCTTTCGTTGCAATAGCTTGCATTTGATCGCAGTGTTTTTTTGTTTTTTGTTTTGTTTTGTTTTTCAAGTGAAAAGCTGGCGTTTGCTCAAGTGACGTATGTGAAATGTCCTGCTATATGACAATGCATCAACACATGCTATTAAACTTAGATGCTCAGATGTGTGTTCGTCTTTGTAATTAACAAGTTACAGACGTATTTATTTCTTACGAATGTAATATTTATTTTCTGTAGCTGGGCCTGTTTTGTGCTCCTTAATGTCAGGGTGCTATAACGTTATCATCATGTGTGTATGGTTCTAATTATCCTCTTTACAATGCCTACAAAGGCCAAAATGACGTCAGTCGACCCCAACTCACGCATTGAACATGAAAACTGCGTCGCTCGGATGTATGCGCTCGTCAGCATTGTCAACATTCGTCCATGAATATTTGAATTCGCGTTTCTGGCGAATGAGTGCCCTGACAGAACTTATCATTACTTGCGAATGCCAAGTTCTACGGTGTGCTTAAAAAGCACGGTGAAAGCTTGGGGTCATCGCACCGGTGCCCTAGCATGTCACGACTGCGTGATTTCACAGTTCTCTTCCGAGTTGAGGATTACAGGTAAGGAAGAAGAAGTTTAAAAATAATTTCGTGGCCACTTTAACACGGATATGTGTGCTACACCAGATAAAAATATTGACTTTTTGAATGCCGGTAAACTTCCGAACGACCATTTGGCCTGTCGGCAAGAACACCTCATATCCGGCGTCCGTCTCTTTTGATGGCGTCAACAATTCCCTAGAGACTACCATGCCGTCCTTCTTGGTTGAACCCCGTCGACGTTGCTCCTCACCAG